GGGACACACTTGGGTGGGAGGGGGGAGAGGGAGAAGGGAGGGAGGTTTCGGTGATGGGACATAATAATCAACTACATTGTATATCGACAAAATAAAAATAATTAAAAAAAAAGAATTTTATATTAAAGCTGATTAGGAAAGTTCACTTAACTTCTCTGGGCCTTAACTTATCTCATCTTAAAATAAAATAAACTTTGTCCTTGATGAGCGTGGGGGGATCTAACTTTTTATATTAAAGCTGATTAGGAAAGTTCACTTAACTTCTCTGGGCCTAACTTATCTCATCTTAAAATAAAATAAACTTTGTCCTTGATGAGCGTGGGGGGATCTAACTAGATGCTGTCTGAATCAAATGATCCAGTGCATTTATTGAAGAATGTATTGATGTTTTCTGTTTCTTTTCTTTGAATGTGAATGTTTTTGTTTTTTTCCTTTAAGGCGCAGGCCCCTGGCTTCCTGTTTGAGATGAAAATGCTGTTTGAAGCCTGAAGAGCAGTAAACCCTTGATTTTCATTTGCAAGGAAGAGTTATAAATGATGATAAAGGCTTCTACTTGGTGGAGATTCCCACCATGGGTTTATTTCAGAGAAAACTCAGTAGTGCCCTATACTTTTTACATAGGAAACTAGATCCTAAATGAATAAGTATACGTTTAATTTCTCTGATGTGAATCATATTTAAATGCACAAAATTGGCAGTTAAAGGAATCAAGTTTCAGTACTTTCATGAAATTCACTGAAAAAGTGAATGCATGAATGCGTGAGAACTGTGTGAGACGTGAGGGAGACTGTCTTGTAAAACTGTGTTCTCTAGTATGGTTACTTACAGAGTCGAAGGGACAGAGATGCTGAAAAACATAACTGTTACATGTGGCAGAGGGTGTGGAGTAAGCAGAAGGGACAAGGTGCCACGGAGTTCAGAGGAAGGAGAGTACCGTAGCCGGAGGAATCAGGAAAGACCCCACAGAAGGCCCTGGAGGGAGAGCAGGTTTTGCTACGTGAAGGTGGTGGGGAGTCCATTTCAGGCACAGGATAGTGAGTCAAGGTGTTAGGAACCAGAGTATGAAAGACTACACGACGGAGAAAGCAGCTTAGTATAAAACTGCACAAAGGGGAGGGAGAGGCACTTGAGGCTGGGCGGTGAGAGGACCAGACTGCCATCAATGAAGACTATTTTTGCAAAGTAAAAACAAAACCCTAATGCATCTCTGCACACCTGCACAATTTCCTCTATCAGATATGTTTTTAAAAGTGCCTGTCACAGTGTCAAGTCAGACTTGGCAAACTGCATGGGCCCCGCCTTGAGGATTCAGTGCTGCACATCAGCACTGCTGATGCCTTCCAGTTCTGCAGGGGCCAGAACCCACAAGCTGTGTAACTCAGCACCACAAGACCAGGGAGCTCTTCAGAGAGTGATTCCGTGGACCTATAAAACACTGTCGTAAAAGAGCACACTTGAAGCCCTGCGACACATGGCTGAGGCTCCATTTCTTGTTTGGACAATGTTTCTGCTAAACTGACCACCTATCTCGTGGAAATAAAATCCCTTCCCTTGTTCTAACAGGCCTGTCCTCTACAGAACTCACACTGAAGGCCCCATGCAAGGATGGCAGAGAAAACAATGAATCAACTAAAAACGAGTATTTCCACTTACTGATTTCACATGTGTTGGTAATTCTGGTGCTCCAAAGGGAAATCTGGAAATTCTTCAATGCCTTAAACAAGGGTTTATGAGGTTGGATTCAGGAGATATTTTAGCTTTTTGTGTTTTTGATTTTTTATATCAAGTGATTAATGATGATTATCTCTGGGTAGATGGATTTTTGGGTGTTACTATTTATCAGCTAATCTATATTTTCTGTTTTTTTCCCCCCTAAAATAAATAGTCTTTGTAAAAACAGAAAGATTCAATTTCTACAAAATGTACACAGACATGTCAGGTTATTTTCCCTGTTTATCTGAACATTCTTAAGAATTCAGTTTCAGTTAGCATGTTCAACATGTCTCTGTTAGGCATTTACTATGATGGAGAACGGGAGAGGCAGGATTTCTGTCCCCAGACCTTGGGCTGCACCTGCTCTGCTTGTTTGGTAACATATGTTTTCAATTTTGCAAAACTTAACAGAAAACAAATGTTTCCAATGACCAGCCCTGACTCAAGGCTTTTGCACTTATGGCCGCCTCTGCCTGAATTCCTGCACAGTTCTGTCACTTCCCTGCTCATGGCACTGCCGAAATGTGACCTATGAGAGAGGCCTTCCTCCGCCACTCTCACCTGAACTGCTCCCCGTTCCCAAGTCACTCTTTATCCTCCTACTGCTTATTTTTACCAAGAATATTTTATTCACTCCATAAAAAAACTACTTATATGTTTACTGTCCATCTCACTGACTGAGAAATGTTTGACATGGGCACAGACTTTGTCATGAATTTATTCATAGCAAATTTGACCTAAGCTGACATTAGGCTACTTGAAGTATGGATCTATCACCTGAGCTGCAAAAAACATCGATGTATGTGATTATGGGGTGCTGCTCACAGCCTTCTGGGATGTGACATTTACGTGGCAAATGTGCTGCACTAAGAAATGTGCTTTCAAAAAGCCAGGAAACTTAATTCTGAAGCATACTGGCACGAGAGGTTCTGGAAAGGGGCTGTGAATGGCATTCCCCTGCATGATGTACCTTAATTAGTTAATTTATCTCTACTATCAGACGCTTTGATATTGCCAACTATTTCCTACTATTAACCATTCAGAAAAGGAAAAACTGGCTGAAAATGAGTTGAAAATAAAACAAACAAGTAGAAAAAACCTGAAAATGTACAAAAATGCTTACAGATGCTGCCAAGATTGCAAAATAGCACCACGACCAATGACCAGCAATGTGAACTTTTGATTTAGTTGTTGTACTGATGGAGCTGTTTTCTGTAAAAGAATGTATTATGATTTCTTATTAAGAATATAGAACTTCATTTACTCAACATACGTACTAACTATCCACCAAGTGCCAGACAGCATTCTAGGTGCTGAGGATACAGCACTGACGGAGCTCACATTTCAGGCACCTCATGGCCAGAACCTACAGCTAACTCCATTCCGGACTCTGTGTCACTCTCTCATCCTTACTCTTCTTTCATCTCCATGTTTGTGTTTATTTTTATTGCATTTTATCTTCTGCTTAATGTAGTCCTACGCTGTACCATGGCCAGAACCTACAGCTAACTCCATTCCGGACTCTGTGTCACTCTCTCATCCTTACTCTTCTTTCACCTCCATGTTTGTGTTTATTTTTATTGCATTTTATCTTCTGCTTAATGTAGTCCTACGCTGTAAACTATCGTAAAACATTTTGAATCTATATAGAGGGAAATAAATGAAAAAGTAAATAAAGAGGTAAATAAATATATGTATTCTATTCCCATATCTACAAAATTTGAATTTTGTGCAATATAGTATTGTAGAACCTTCTCTCCTGCTCGAGTGGACAAGTGCTAGGCGTTAGTAGATTAATATGGAATCTATTCTCTGCTCTTCTGCCTTTACCAGCCCTACAACACTTTAGGAGGAAAAAACAGAAGAGTAAATACCACTGTGGCCAAGTGCCTATTTCTCATGAATTCCTGATTTGTTTCTGACTGGGAAGTCCCTGCCACTTGTAGGAGGAGAGACACGTGGGACACCATGCCATAGCTGCATTTACTTAAGAAGTGGATTTCTGCATTTCCCATTTCTCCTAATAGAATAGGTGGCTAGAACATTTATGAGGAGCAGACAAAGGTGAATGGGGAGAGAAAACTTCAATATTTAAGGAACTAGTTTGACAAGATAAGTCTAATTCTTCAGATTACCTTAGAAAAGGTAACTAATTTCAGAGGACAAGGTTTAACTAACTCTTGAGAGGAATTTGGTAGTTTATAATTTTTTTTTTAAAATGGAGCTTATTCAAAGAGAAGGAAGATAGAAGCAAGACACAGCCATACGAAAAATTTTAAAAAGCTATTTGTAGCTGTTTTTTCTGAAGTGATCTCCCCAGACTGGTCATGTGGAAGAGGGGAGGCTCCTTCCTCTGACATCGTGGCTAAGTCCAAGCACCTAAAACAGGCAAGAAGAAGCCTTCTGAGGCTCACCCATACATAGCCTTAAGCAACCATCTTTGGGATTGTAAGTGGAAGGACCGAGGGTGGCAGAGAAGGATGTGGAGGTGATGCATGCCCACTGTTCACCTTACCAGCACCTGCTGGGAGTGAACTTTTTTACTCCTTCCGTGTGTCTGAGGAACAAACTCTGCAACCCTGCCCTGGGCTGGCTCTGAGTACAGTCATAGGAGGAGCCCTTGGGGAGGGCATTCCCACAGCTTTCCTGTTCCTTCCTTTGGCAGTCCTAATCTGCACAATGATCTCTACGGATTGGTGTGTTTTATGTTAAGAGTTCAAGAAAGGAAAAGAAATAGTGAAGATGGTCAGAGTGGACAAATGAATAAAAAGAAGTATTTTTAGCTATGGTTAATGCAAGTCTATCAATTATACCTTTTTCATAGAAATGCAGCTTTGCTATTTCCCTATTGGCATTACAGCAGCAAATCCCCAAACCTGCTTGATGCAAAGATCATTTCTTCGGGAAGAATTTCAATGTACACAAGACTAAGTACTTCAAGAGACAGGATTTTTTGCCACAGTGAAACATTTGTCTAGTATCCAATCTTTACAAAGTCTGACAGCAGAGGTCTGGGCAAACTGCTACTTCTGTTACAAAAGTTAAAATGCCCCAGGTGGAATAAGAGCTATGAATCTTAGTCATGAATAATGGATACAAATGCAGACTATAATTTTTTAAATAAAGAAATAAGTGTGCACCAATCACATGCATTTGATTAAAAGATAGTCTTCCAGATGCAGCTAAGTGTCAGCCAAGGCAAATACATCGAGCAAGTCTGTGCTGTAGACCTGTCCTTTAAAGTTACTCTTTCCACTCAAACACTTACTGATATTAGTGAAACTCACCTGCAAGCAAATTGCCAGGTTCACTCTACAGCCAAATGAGGTGCTAACAGCCCGTGGGTGGAGGCCCAGGTCTTTAAATAATTTTGAGAAGGACTGTGTGAGAGCTATTCGAGGCCTCTCTTCTGCCACAACCACACAGGTCCTCACCCGGGACAGGTCCAGTCCTCGTGCCTAGAAACAACAATAGCGACACAAAGTCAGCCTCCAACGTGCTCAGCTCTGTGTAGCCTGCAGATTCTTTCATGCAGAATCCCACGTAAACTACGGAAAACTCAACACAGCTGTTCATTTCCAGGGCTACCCATGTCCACATCATTAGTTAAACTCTTCCAGAATGTCGGTATAAAAAAAAAATGCACTTGGATATTCAAATTATCAAGCAAGCCATTACAAACATACTTTAGACAACAGCAAGAAGCCACAGCACGAACCGTGATGAAGAGAAAGGCTGGGGAAAAGCAACTTCCTGGACAAACGATTGAGGGCAGGGTCCGAGGAAGGAAACTCTTCCTCACAAGCACAGCTGCACAAGCACGCACACCAGAGAGAAATGAGAAGACCTGCTGCTTTAAATAAAGGGACGCAAAACTAGAATTTTTGGACAAATTCATAAAGACAGCTCTCCCTTTATGTTCTGAGACTTAAAAGGTCACAGAGAAACTCTTATCATCAAGCGCGTCTCAGTTTCTGCACCAAATTCAGTCAGCTGAGCAAAACTGCAGAAGTCGTGGAAGAATTCAGTGGGTTGAGCACAACTGGGAATAACCGGCAGTTCCTGGGCCGAGCTGGAGGGAATGAGGTCAGGAGCAAGCAGTGCGTTTGAATGTGAAGGTGAGCAGTGAACCAGGGTGTCTGGGAGTAGAACCAGAGCTGGTAGGAGGTAACTATAAACCCAAACCATTCAGCCCTGCAAGTGTTCTTTAAGGTGGTCTCAGCACAGAGATGACTGACAAGGGTCCTGAGTGAGGGAACACGATTCAAGATAACTTTGACATTAAAATTTAGTATTAGATATGATTGTATATTCACATAGTTACATAGGAAAAACTGAAACCTAGGTCATAGAAATGACACATTTGCATGTGTATATGTTTGACAGGCAAGGTGCCAGGGAATATGCGACAGTGTCGGGAGCCGGAGATTCAAATCTGGCTCCAAGTTTATTCAGTGTAAAAACTTGGGAAGGTTGCTCAATTTTCCTGTAACTTAAGTTTCCTCGTCTTTAAAATGGAGACAATGATTCCTATTTCAGAGAGCTGTGTAAGGACTAAAGGAATATGTAAAGTGCTTAGTAATCACTCAATTATGTTATTATAATTTCATTTTGGTTACTTACATATGCACCAACAGGAAAAGATCATGAAATTGTACTCTATAATTTTATAATGTGATACAGGTGGACATAAGTAATAATTATGTTTTATATTTTTTCCCATATAAATATGTAACTTCAAATAATTGCATTTATTTATATAGCTTAATATCAATGCTATCTTGCATTCTATTTTCCTGTTCAAGCTTAATGCATTAGTCCTGAGTGGGAAAATGAAATGCAGGAGTGACAAGTGCACTGCTTAAGCATATTTGGGTACAGACAGTGTGTGTGTGTACACACAAACACAAACATGATCTCTATGTGCACAAAGACATGCACACATCTGGACATACAAACAGTGAACAGCAGGTAGGAATATGATCGAAACAGGTCATATGATTATTCCCTCCTAGTGACTTGGAATTAAGGACTCCTTAACTTACCACGAAAACATGTCTATCAAAATGTCCATGGTTTAAATGAAGAGAAAAACTATAATTCTTACATAATGGCAATTATATTAAAAAACCAAAAAAACACAGCACTGTTTGCTTAATTATGAAATGAATTTTGGTTAGGGTCCAGATCTGGGGTCCAGGAAAACAAAAATGAGTGGCTAAATTCAAACCCACCTACTTAAACGATATCAGATAAAGTAAATTGCACCAAAGAACTCAAGTCAGCAAACAAATAAAAAAGCAGATTTAGGATTTTTCAAGTAGGCCCAGTGGAATAAAAGTGAAATAAAATATTTCACTCTGGCTTATTACTACTTGCGGCAGTGGGAAAATATTCATGTTATAAAATGTTTTCACATGGGCCGGCCCGGTGGCGCACTGGATAGTGCGCCGCTTGGGAAGTGCGGCGGCGCTCCCCCTGGGGTCCAGGAAAACAAAAATGAGTGGCTAAATTCAAACCCATCTACTTAAACGATATCAGATAAAGTAAATTGCACCAAAGAACTCAAGTCAGCAAACAAATAAAAAAGCAGATTTAGAATTTTTCAAGTAGACCTAGTGGAATAAAAGTGAAATAAAATATTTCACTCTGGCTTATTACTACTTGCGGCAGTGGGAAAATATTCATGTTATAAAATGTTTTCACATGAAAACAATTTGTAAGCTTCAGGTGACAGTAGATGATACCCTGGCTTTTTTGAAGGACTGTTTTTACTTCACCAAATCTACGAATGCATGTTCTTAGAACATGAGGTCCCTGGGGACTCTGGAGGCTCTGGGAGGGGAACACAGTGGCTTACCTTGAGGGATTCCGTTTGTGAGCCCAGCCCCTTGGTGCAAAGCTCCATCACTGAGTAGGAGCAAAAGGTGTCCCGGACTTTATACTGACTCACAGCAAGAAGCCACAAGGCAGGGTTGGTTTCCAGCTCAGACGGTGGGATCAGAACGGATTGGTGCCCAGAATACACACTGCGGAAACAGAGGGGCCATCAGGGAGGCACTCAGCAAGGACTGGGACATGAACAGCCTATTTTGTCATTGGTAAGATGGGGACAGTAAAACCAACTCTGTAAAATGAAATCATGTTTACGAGAGCATTCTGAAAAGCACATATGTACTACAGGAATTATAATGCAGAGTTGTTACCACTTGAGCACGTATTTAAAACGTATAAAAGCTGTGACACTTGGCTTTCTCTCAATGCCACTACATTAACAAGCTGGGCCCTCTTTCATAGTACAAAACACAGGGATCAGGATCAAATTTTGGTAAAAACATCTGGAAATTCAGAACAGGAGTTGGCAGACCACAGATGCTGTCTGTTTTTGTAAACAAAGTTTTGTTGGAACAAAGCCACTGCTCATTTGTTTAAATATTGTTCCCAGAAGCTTTGAGCTGAGTGGTGGGGACAGAGACCACAGAGCCTAAAGTATTTACTAAACAGCCATTTAAAAAAACGTATGCCTACCCCTGGCCTAGAAAAGTGACATCCAGAGTAAAAGCATCTTTTTAAGTTTGTATTTTAAAAGTGATCCAAAAAAATCACCAAACAGAACAATTAAGGAAAACATAACCATTCTTTAATCATACCTTTATATCAGATGGCACATTTGAGAAATAAGGAAAAGTGATTACATATTTTAATTCACCATCAATTGATGGAGTAAATGTGGATTTAAAACAATGAAATATTTGCCAAAACTACATTTTTAATGGTTTTAATTGTTTTTTGTTCACTACTGTGTATCAACATTAATAGGTGTCATACATTATAATAAAATATCCTAGATAAATTACCTTCCAAGATTTAAATAAAAAGGATTTTCCAGCTACAGAAAATTTCACAGATGAAATAGCATATCGGGCCTCATTAACTATAATACTAAACACTAATTCTTTAATGTGGTTCAATCTCATTTAAAAATTTGTAAAGGGCCACAAAAAATGATAACATTGTATAATATTGAATATACTAATTATCCTGATTTGAGCATCACATATTACACACAGGTATTGATATGTGACTCTATATCCCACAGACAAGTACAATCAATTACGTTTCAATAAAACAAAATAATTTCAAATTTGTTTATAAGAGAATCTAGCTGGTTAAAGAAATGCAAGGAAATTAAGTTGATCCATAAAATCTTCTTCAAACAGAACCCTTAGTAGGGAACACTATCATTGAGGGAATGTGATAAAGGACATTTTTTGGCAAGTTTCCATTTCTTTCTTTATTCCTCTGTTCCAAAGTTTTATTTATTTTTGTCTAAAGAAAATATAGCAAACACTGACCTTTTCTGTGGCCTTTACAAAGCAATCATTTGAAAACCAGGAGGTTAGGGACATGAGGGAGAATATCAGTCCTCGAATAATTATTATGCTGTAAATTGGCTATTTCTGTCTTAATTTTTAAAATTTTATTGTGGTAAATATATACAACGTAAAATTTTCCATTTTAACCATTCGTAAGTGTACACTTCAGTGGCATTAAACTCACATCAATGTGCAGCCTCACCACTTATTTCCAAAGCTTTTCCATTGCCCCCAGCTGAAACTCCACCCATGAAGCAATAATTCCCCATCCCTCCCTGCCCCCAGCTCCTGGCATCCTCTAACCTACTCCCCCCATCTCAATGAATTTGTCCTTGCACGTACTTCATACAAGAGGAATCATGCAGTATTTGTCTTTTTCTGTCTGGCTTATTTCACTTAGCATGACGTTTCTGAGGTTCATCCACAGTGTAGCACCTGTCAGAATTTTCTCCATTTTATGGCTGGATAATATGTAATTGTATATATGTACCACATTTTGTTCATCTATTCATGCACTGATGGACACTTTCTTGGTTTCCACCTTTTGGTTACTGTGAATAATGCCGCAATCCACCCTGGTGTACCAGTCACAGCACCTGTTTTCAATTCTTTTGGGTATATGCCTAAGAAAAGAACTGCTGGATCTTATGGTAATTTTGTGTGTAACTTTTTGAGGAATCAATAAACTGTTTGCTACAGAGGCTGCACTATTTTACATCCCATTAGCAATGTACAAGGACTCTGATTGCTCCAAATCTTTGCCACACTTGCTATTTTCCATGTTTTGGATTCCTACTGGTGCACTGGGTGTACACTGGTATCGTGTACTTTTGATTTGTATTCCCTATGGAAACAACTTATTTTTACAGTCAATATATCAAATCAACAAGATCCCCTTTTGATAATTTTAACACTCAAATTCTGTCAGTTTTCACTAAGATGTGTCCTTGGGAAATTAATTTAGGTTGTTAAAGATCACTTTATATTAAGGTTATCCAATGGAGATCAAATGACATTACAAGTCCATCTGTATAACGAAACAGACTTACACCTTGTTCAAACACTACTTAATACAAGTAACATTCTATCAAACAAAATTTCTGTACAAATTTAGCCTAGGCTTTGCAGTCTGTGAAATAAGCTTTGATCCAGATGTTCTTTTATATAGAACTGTGAGTCTTTAAAGTCAGAGTTCCTATCTAGTTTAGGAAGCCAGCAGGAGATGAGCTTTCTAGCACGTGTGTTTGTTTTCTCACTTCTGGGGCATACCATATTATTCTCAAGACAACCTTCCAAGAATTATACATGTGGGGTCTGAAACCAAACCAAACATCTCCTTAGCTCCAGTGAGGAAGGGGCCAGTGCCCCTCTGCTCACACACACAGAGAGGTCCTACGCCCCTTTTCTGGAGACCTACAGTCTTATTTTGGGGGCCTATCAGAGCTCAGACAGACACAACACTCTCCCACCTCCCGCTAAAACCCTGTGTGGATGGGTCTTGTCCCAGTCCTTTTCCTGGAGGGGTAGTCACTCTCACAACACTGACGAGGGGAAGGACAGTCCCACCTGTACTGACTTTGCTGAAAGTTGGTGCTGTTTTGTTTTGCTACTGTAACCACTATTTCCAGTCTTGCTTTCTGTTACAACACACCACTCCAGAATCAGCCTATAAACTCCATCTAGGTGTGACTCTGAATTAGATCCTTTCTTATTAGCTAATATGTCAACTCTAATTAGAAGCCTCAAGACAGCACTAAGCAGAAAGAAATAAAAATAACAGATATTTACCTGTACTGAGTGGATATTAAAAGGATAATCTCAGGGCCAAAAATGGGGTCATACACCAGGTAATAGCTTAAGATCTAACAAGCCTGCAAATTATGCATCTCATAAATCCTAATCATTCACTAGGAAACCTTACGTGTCTTACCACTCTGAGAAGTGATGGAACAAAGTGTTTCTGTTAACACTAAATGTTATTCAACCCTTCATAAATCAGGGTTATAATACCACCTTAATTAGATTTCCTTGTATGCTTTTTATTGCAGACGAAAATTAAACAGCTTCTCTTCACACTAAGGATTCTACATGTTCTGTGCCACGTACCAAACATGCTATGACATTAGGGAATCAAAACACAGGTGGAAACCTTGTGAGGATTTTCCTCTTAATTATGACAATCTGTCATTTCCACATTGTTCCCAGCATTTTGCTTCATAAACACTCTCATAAGGAGATCCAACATGAAGAAAATTAAATCAAAACAGCCCACCCATAGCTTTCTCAAGAATTCACATCAGGATTAACAATTTGCTTGATCGGAACTGTTAGCACACGAACAGGGCTGGATCCACAGGTGAACTTGAGGCTGGAGCATTTCGAGCATACTTGTGAGAATTAAATACAGGTTCGCCTCCTCCTCATCTCATGAATAGGAAGTCAACATGAGGAAAAATTAGTAAACCCTGATACTAGAAGACAGACAGAAAACTCGGCTCATGAACCTTCTTGCCTTTTCCCAGTCAAGCAAATGTTCATTCACTGCTGCACTCACTGGCCAACACTGATTTTTTGGCACAGATATACTCCTATGGACAAACCTACTTAATAGCAGGTTGCTTATTCTGAGGAAAGTATTTTCAGAGAATTTTTAGAACCTGAGCTGTTATACTTTAGATCTTAACTCCAAAAAGAACAAAGTAATTAAAGAGACATTTTAGTACCTAATACAAATGTGCACAGCAGTAATTCAGCAATTCCAGATTATCAACCAGACGAAACACACGATCAGCTAAAAGCAACCACAGCCTGGGAACTCAGCAGGGAGACCCAGGTCACCAGTGGGTCCCACAGGCTGAGCCTCCCCTGGTGGCTTGCTGTATGCAGCCCTTCGATCTGTGCGTGCTGCAGTCAGGCAATGGCACGCTTTCTTTGTTTCTAAAACACTTTCAGTTTCATTTAGGTTTACTTTGCATGCCTTAAAATTTGCCCAGTTTAAGCATAGAATTAAATGATTTTCAGTAAATTTGCAGAGCCATACAATTCTCACCATAATACTAACCCTTGCCCAAGCCAATCACTATTCTACTTTCTGTCTCTGCAGATTTGCCTTTTCTGGATATTTCACATAATACGATCATGTAATATTTGGTCTTTTGAGTCTGGCTTCTTTTGCTTAGCACTGTACTCCACTGTAGAGATATGATAAACATTGTTTATCCATTCACCCACTGGTGGACATTTGGACTCCCTTTTATTGTTTTGACTAAGGCTCCTGGGAATATTTACATCAAGTCTTTGTGCAGATGCAGGCTTTCCTTTCTCTTGGGTGGATGCCTAGGAGTGGAATTGCTGGGCCATATGGTAGATTTATGTTTAGTGTTACAGATCATGCCAAACTGTGGTTTCCCCATTTTACATTCCCAACAACAATGCATAAGAATTCCAATTTTTCCAAATTCTTAGATACTGTTGCTTTGTAGTGTAAGTTGCTTTTAAATTTTTGAATTTTAACTATTTTTGAATTTTAAGAGTTCATTATATATCTGGTTATAAGTACTTTACCAGGTAAATAATTTACAAATTTCCCCCCCAGATTCTGGCCCGTCTTTTCACTTTCTTAATTGTGTCTTTTGACATACAAAAGTTTGAAC